CCAGTCTGGGCAACAGAGTGAGACTCCAACTCAAAAAAAAAAAAAACCTTTGAAAAACTGATTTTAAAATGTTAATGTAGGCTGGACACTGTGGCTCACACCTGTAATCCAAGCACTTTGGGAGGCCAAGGCAAGAGGATTGCTTGAGCCCAGGAGTTCGAGACCAGCCTGGGCAATATAAAGAGGCCTCACCTCTACAAAAAGATACAAACAAAAAACTTTAATACAAAAAACCATTTTTCATGATTCTCTAAGGTAAATACATTGAAAAGGAACACAGACACTGATTGTCCAGAGTGAATTCTACCTAAACTGGTTAATTCATCTTACCGTCCCCATGGGTCCCTCAGTCCCTGTGCAGCCAGCTTTTTCTGGACAGTTTCTAATGGTGTCCCTTCTATCTTCCATTGTTTATAGTCTGGAAGTTCCATTTTACTATGACCATGTTCATGTCCATGCCCATGGGCCATGTCTATAGGAAAGTGAGAAACACAAATTGTAGATACCAAATACCCAGGCTTACTATTTATGTTTCAAGGTGAAACATTTAATGTTTTTAAAAGAGTCAACATAAATACCTGAAAATTCTAGTTAAGAGACTGTATAAAACAATGTCTTATTATATCACTAGTATATGTTCACAGTTAGGAAATATGCATATACAAAATATACAAAATCTGGGTATGGTGGCTCATATCTGTAATACCAGCACTTTGGGAGGCTGAGGCAGGAGGATTGTTTAAGTTCAAGAACAGCCTGAGCAACATGGTGAGACCTCGTCTCTGCAAAAAAATAAAATTAGCCAGGTGTGATGGCACGCATCTGTAGCCCTGGCTACATAGAAGGCTGAGATGGAAGGACTGCCTCAGCCCATGAGGTTGAGGCTGTAGTGAGTTGTGATCATGCCTGGGTGGCGGAGTGAGACCCTAAAACCTAACCAGTAATTCCACCACTCAGAAATAACCATTTACTAGTTGGTTTCTTTCTTCATTGTAATAATAGTAAATACTTTTTGAGCTCTATGTACTTACTAGGCGAACTGGGCTAAAGTGCTTTATGTATACTCAATCCATTACTTCTGAATCAACTCTGTGAGCTTAAATTATGATTATCCCCATTTTACACATGCAGAAAATGAGACTCCAAGAAGTTAAGCAACCTTCCAAGGGTAAAAAGAACAGTAAATGGTACAATTGGGATTTGAGTCTTGCAGTTTGGTTTCAGAACCCCTGCTCCTAACGTTTAAGCAATATTGTTTTCCTTGTAGTGCTTTCATAATGCATAAATATGAGTAACAAAAAGGTTGTACATACTATTTTTGGACTTGCTTTCTTAGATTCTTTTAATATGCAGTATTATTATTATTATTTTTTTTTGAGTTGGAGTCTCACTCTGTTGCCCAGACTGGAGTGCAGTGGCCGCTCCCGGCCACTGCAGCCTCGACTTGCTGGGCTCCGGCGAGTCTTCCAAATATTATTTTTTAAAAATACATATGACGTGAATTTTTTCTGTAGAGTCAGACAGTAAATATTTTAGGTTTTGTGGGCAAAAAGGTAAAATCAAGGCTATTACTTAGGTACATATAAAGAGGGTACCAAAAAATATAAAGCCATTTTTAAGAAAAAAACTGTATTAAAACTGTATTAAAATTGTAATATATACTGCTAGCAAAAGATGAATATAAATCACGTTTGATTTCTAAAATTACAAGAGGTGATCAAACTGGTTACCATCAGCATGTAGACACTTTTCATTATGGTGACCTATTGCAGACTTGTTGCTGTGTGAGGCTTCCCACATCTTCCCTTGTGCACATCACACACAGTACCGTGCATCTCAAACTCGTCACAAATGCATGCAACTGTTAGGTGTGTTGGAGGTTCTGTTGCATACTCACACTTCCATTGTCATTATACTTTTACAACATTCTTGAATTTCAAGTACCACTTCAAAATGGTCTTGCAGTCATTGAACAACTGTGCTTCTTCCATTTTCTATGACTATCCTGCCTAGCTCATGGTGATGCTAGCAATTATTTGATGACATTTCATCTTTTGAGCAAATGTCATATTACACATTGCTACCCTAATTCAACTTTGAAAAGTAATATAGATGACATCACTTAAAATGTGTATACATTTTTTTGGCAACCCTAATATAATAAGACAAAACAAATCTCTATAAATATATATATATATTTTTGAGTTGGAGTCTCACTCTGTCCCCAGATTGGAGTGCGGTGGCCGCTCCCGGCCACCGCAGCCTCGACCCACTGGGCTCCGGTGATCCTTCCTTCTCAGCCTTCCAAGTACACTGGAATTACAGGCGCATGCTACCACGCCCGACTAATTTTTTATTTATTTATTGTAGAGATGAGGTCTCACCAAGTTGCCTAGGCGGGTCTTGAACCCGCGGGCTCAGGCAATCCACTCATCTCAGCTTCCTAAGGCGCAGGATTACAGGCTGAGCCACCGAGTCCGGCTGTATAAATATTTTATTGATAAAATTCAAAATATAATAAAAATAACTGAGTACAAATTTTTGTAAAACAGGTCTACTGATGGAAAAAAATGGAATATCCTTTTTTGGGGGAGGGTAACTTTTTTTTTTTTTTAGCCTGAGTCTCACTTTGTCATCTAGGCTGGAGTGCAGCCTAGGTGCACAAATTATAGTATAGTGTTATCAATTCACACCCTTAATTTGAAATTCATAGCAATTTAAATGGAGACTGGGCTGAAGTTTCTTTTTATGTTGTCTATAAAAATAACACTAGTATAGCACTAATATAGCAATTCTATAATCACTGCTCTCCAGAAATAAAGCCAAACCTAATAATTATTATCATTATATCTACAATTATGAACAGGCTCAATAATAATACTGCATCTTAGAAGACAGAGGTTATTATTAGTGTATACTAAAGACATATTAAGTGAAATAGTCATTTCATTAAATAATAGTTCTAATAGATGAAAATAATTGTACATTGTAATTCTGAAAAATTAACCAACACTTTATATACATATACATAAAACACACATATATGTATACATTTGCATATATATATACGTATATATATATACACATACACACAGAGAGAGAGAGAGAGTTAGAGTTAGACAGTTAGTTAGTTAGTTGGGTAGTTAGTTAGCTAGTTAATTGTGGTCTCAGTTCGTTGCCCAGGATGAAGTGCAGTGGCATGATCATAGCCTCATTGCAACCTCAACCTTCAGGTGATCCTTCCACCTCAGTCTCCTAAGTAGCTGGGACTACAAGTGTGCAACACCATGCCCAGCTAATTTTCTTGATTTTTTTTTTTTTGAGAGATAGGGCTAACTATGTTGTCTAGACTAGTCTCAAACTCCTGGGCTTACAGGTGTGAGCCACCCATGCCCAGCTCAATACTTGATATTGATAAACATGTTAAGGTATCACAAAACATTATGTTTATGATTTTCACATTTAATCTTTTTTTTCTGAGTTGGAGTCTCACTCTGTTGCCCAGGCTAGAATGTAGTGGCACACCCATGGTCACCACAGCTTCAACCTGCTGGGCTCAGGCAATCCTTCCACTTCAGCCTTCCAAGTAGCTGAAACTACAGGCACGTGCTACCATGCCTGGCTAATTTTTTGATTTATTGTAGAGATGAGGCCTCACCAAGTTGCCCAGGCTGGTCTCCAACCCGTGGACTCAAGCAATCCTCTTGCCTCCACCTCCCAAAGTGCTGAGATTATAGGCATGAACCACCACATCTGGCTAATAATAATTTTAATATATTGGGTTAGATAACATATATTATTAAAATCAACTTATCTGATATTTAAATTTTTAAACATGGCTACTAGAAAATTTAAAATCACACATGTGGCTTGTATTATATTCATATTGGGCAGCCCTACTCTACAGAAACTCCTGCATGTGTATAACTATATATATATATATATATATATATATATACACACACATATACATATATATACATATACATATATACATATTTTATATACATATAAATATACACATATACAATTATATATATATATGTAATTGTAAAATTATTATTTTTTTTAAGTTAGAGTCTCATTTTGTCACCCAGGCTGGAGTGCAGTGGCACACTCATGACCACCGAGCATCGATCTGCTGCCCTCCGGTGATCCTTCCGCCTCAGCCTTCCAAGTAGCTGGAACTACAAGCGCACACTACCATGCCCAGCTAATTTTTTTATTTATCATTGAGATGAGATCTCGCCAAGTTGCCTGGGCTGGTCTCAAACCCACATGCTCAGGTAATCCACTCGCCTCGCCTCGGCCTCCCAAAGTGCTGGGATTACAGGCTGAGCCACTGAGCCCAGCAAAACCATTTAAATATGTAAATATATAGACTTTTTTTTTTTTAAAGACAGGGCCTCATTCTGTTGCCTAGGTTGGAGTATAGTAGTGTGATCTTAGCTCACTTCAGCCTCAATCTTCTGGGCTCAAATGATTCTCCTGCTTGAACCTCCCAAGCAGCTGGGGCTATAGGAACATGCCACTATGTCCAGCTAATTTTTTCGTTTTTTGTAGAAATAGGGGTCTGGTTACGTTTCCCAGGCTGGTCTCAAATTTCTGGCCTCAAGCAGGGCTTTGGGCCTCCCAAAGTGGTGGGATTACAGGTATGAGTCACCACACCTAGCCAGGAGATATGTTTTCTAAGAATCTTTATAGCCACATGGTTTATGCTAGCTTCCAACTGTCAACAACACAAATGGCCAATAACAACACAGAAGGAACTAAGGTATAATCACACTATATAATATTATATAACAAAGAACTACATGTAAAAGTATGAATGAATCTCACAAATATAATAATGAATACAGAGTCAGAAAAAAATTACATGTACTCTGATCTCAAGCATATAAATTGGAAAGCTTAACAATTTTTTAGGAATGCATCATATTTGGAAAAATTAAAGTAAAACAAGTGAATGCTTATCACAAGTTAGGATAATGATTATCTCTTGGTGGAGAAGAAGATAGATTACAGAAACATACAGGAAGTATCTAAAGCAGTGTTTTTCAACCAGTTTTTAATCACTGTCCCTCTAAGAAACTTTTTTAGACTTTTTCCCCCACTAATCACACTCCTCCCAATGAAATTTAATATCACTGACATAATATATATATATGTTTATGTGCTGTTGCACTTTGAAGGGACACAAATCATTGTAGTAACTAAGATCCTCTCCCATAGAATTCATTTTCACCTCTTGAAGAGCAATCACCCCTTTTAAAAATGTTTGTTCTAAGGTACTGGCAGTTTTATTTTGTAACATAAGGGGTAGTGACAGAAGAGTTTGTTTAATTTTAATTCTTTAACGTGTATATATGTTTTATACATACCTCTGTTATGTATACTTGACAATAAAAAAAACTAGACAAAGTGAATTGGCTGGGTGTAGTGACTCATGCCTGTAGCCTCAGCAATTTGAGAGGTCCAGGCGAGGGGACTGCTTGAGGTCAAGAGTTCGAGACCAGCCTAGGCATCACTGCGAGAGCATGTCTCTTAAAAAGCATAATAAAACTTCAAAAAAATTCTGTGGGCGCGGTAGCGCATGCCTGTAGTCCTAGCTACTAGGGAGACTGAGGCAGGAGGACCCCATAAGCCCAGGAGCTCGAGGTTGCAGTGAGCCGTGATCTCACCACTGCACTCCAGCCAGGGTGAGAACCATACCTCTTCTCTAAAAAAAATAAATAGAACTAGCCAAGTTCTTGAGACATCCATCACAACTATTCCTATTTTATATATTTTCGGTCTAGGTGATGTTCTTATTTGCTTTGCCCAAGGGTAAACAAACATAAAATGGACAAACCACGGGTGTGGAGTGTTGCATGTAACACAGGTGGGAAAAAGCACCTGAACTTAACCACAGTGACGCTCACCGCATCCCCCAACCCCCCTCCTGCCCAGCTCTAAACGAGGTCATACTTTTCCCCTAATAGCCCTTCCACCTCCTTCCCTCTCGAGTGTTCCTGCACATAGTCCTCTCTATTCAGTCTCCTCCTTTCTGCATTCCCCAGACTAAAATATCGTTCTTAATCCTCATCAAGCACTCTCCCATCGACTCCCCAATTTACCTGACAGCAACCTGACCTCTCAGGACATTCAACTCTCCAGCAGGAGCCAACCGGAAACGGAGGTTGTCACCTCGAGTCGCTTACGACAGGAAAGCAGAGCAGCCGTTGAACGTTCCGGTGCTGGGTCAAAGATTCCCGAACCGAGTAAAGATTCCATGAGGGAGGCTGGAAGTCGACATTTTCGCCTCGTATGTGCAGACACAGTCTGACGGAGGTAAGAGAGACTGCGGGGGAGAGAAATGCGGGAAAAGGAAATGCTTTCCTTTCTTGGAGACGGAATCTGGAGGCGCTGCACAGAGGGGCGAGCCGCAGGGGCGCTGCAGCCAGTAGGGAAGACTGTTGTTGAGAGCGTGGACTCAGCCAATGAGAGAGTCGGTTGTTGCGCTGCAGTTGGCAGACTGCTGCGGGAGGCGGTGGCGGTAGCTGTAGGAAGCCGGAGACAGCGGGGTGACAGGTAGGCGGCGGTGCCGTTTTGGGGGGACGCGAAGTGCTAGGTAGGGAGAGTTTTTCTTCTCCGGCTTCGGAAACTATAGCGAGGAGCTGACGGGGTGTCTGGGAAGGCGATAGCCTGAGGGTTGGTGGTCCTGGAGCCTCGGTAAACCAAGTAGCAGCCTGGGAGGGTCGCGAGGAGAAGGCGGCAGCCGAGGCAGGTGGAAGCCGAGCGGTACCGGGCGACTTGGGGGCCTACTCAGGGCGTGGGGGCTGCGGTGGCGCCGGCAGGGACGGAGAAGGAGGGGCGGGAGCGAGACGGTGTAGCGATGCTGAAGGAATTATGTGCACGAAGCCCCGGGCGAGAAAAGGACGACACTGCAGACACCTTAAAGTAATCCCAGTGGTTGCTTCTTGGGGCCATTCCCCGGGGTGGGGAAGGGGAGCGGAGGAGAAAGACATTTACTGGTGGTCAGATCCTGGAAACTCTTTGTAACTGTACATTATGTAATCCTTGGCTGATATTGACCCAAACAACTAGGTTGCCCCTCCTGGAAGAGGAGGTCTTGCGACCCACTGATGTGTGAGAACACTTTTTTCGTTGGCTTGAGTGCCTTCTTCCCAGGCCGGCTCTGGGAGAAGGGAGATAGCATGGAGGATCGAGTAATCACGAAGAGCTTATCCCAAATATAGACTGGAGTTGAGAGATACGATGTCAGTCTGCGATGCATGTGGCCGGGTTCGTGGTTTTTAGTTCCTGGATGTATTTGCTTTGAGGGTCCAGGCTGACAACATTTTTTTTTTTTTTTTAAATCTTCAGGAAAGTGGAGATCCTTAAAAATCTTTAGTAGGAGGTAAGTGCAAATTGGAAAATGACTAGAAAATTAGATGATAGAAATATTTTCCCTCAGATATTGTGGATGTCAGCGACTGTGAAAATAAGTGGTGGTTCTAATTGGGGGGAAAAGTCAACTTTTAGGTAGTTTGCTCTCTAAGTCTGAGAAGTTAGTTATTATTCTTTCTTTCTTTCTTTTTTTTTTTTGATTCGGAGTCTCACTCTGTTGCTCAGACTGGAGTGCAGTGGCATGCTCACGGCCACCGCAGTAGGGACAAGGTCTCACCACGTTGTCCAGGCTGGTCTCGAGCTCCTGGACTCAAATGATCCTCTTGCCTCCGCCTCCCAAAGTGCTGGGATTATGGGTGTGAGCCACCGCGTTCAGTTCGAATTACTTATTTCTTATGTTGAAAAGTGCGTTCTTTGAATTTTTTAGACTGAGACGAAATGTATTTAGATGTAATTAGCTGTAAATTAACTTGTTTTTAATTTTTAAAATAATGATTCATTGTTTGCACAATGAAGTGTAGAATTAAAATAGGAATTCCAGTCAATATGTATTATGAAAGGACAAATTATATAAAAACTTGATTTTATAGTTCACTGAATAACAGTTTAAAAGGAGCACTGGAAATCAAAAATAAGCATTATAGTTTGCTAAAATATGAGGTGTTTGAAATGTTGCCCTAGACAATATTGTCCAATGTAGTATTAGCAAGTCTGTCATTTTCCTAAGATTATTTTAGTACTGCATGTCAGGAAAACTTTGTAAGATGTGATTTTTTTCTATTAATGATAATTAATTTTAGTATATATGAACCTAAATCAAAATTTTATTATTTTTTTCAGAATTTCATTTGGGAAGGAGAGATGGATTATTAGAGTTTGTTTGAAAATCTTCAGAGTACTAATATACTTATCAGTGCTTTAGATAAAAGTTTTAATTGATACCTGGTGTTTCATTTTTTTGACTTTTTTTCAGTCACAAAAAACCTCTGGTTCCATCTTAGGTGCAATTCTGTAGTATTTTGAGTATGTGATCAAATCTGCCTTTATATATGGAGTGGTGTGTGTGTGTGTCTCTCTCTCTCTCTCTTATGTAACCAACCTACTCTAGTTGTCTTAGAGAACTAATGGCTGATTTTGAATGGCCAGTAGGTGTCATTGTAGAATGCAGTAAGTTGAACATTGAGTAGGAAATTACTAAGTAGTCTAAGAAATAACTAGTCCTAGCCGGGCTCCTGGCTCAGCCTGTAATTCCGCGCCTTTGGGAGGCCGAGGTGAGTGGATTGCCTGAGCCCGCGGGGTCGAGACCCGCCTGGGCAGCGAGACCTCATCTCTACAATAAATCAAAAAATCAGCCGGGCATGGTAGCGCATACCTGTAATTCCGGCTGCTCGGAAGGCTGAGGCGGAAGGATCGCTGGAGCCCAGCAGGCCGAGGGAGTGGCCACTGCACTCCAGTCTGGGCGACAGAGTGAGACTCCAACTCAAAAAAAGAAAAAAAGAAATACTAGTCCTGGCCGGACTTGGTGGCTCAGCTTGTAATCCCAGCGCTTTGGGAGGCCGAGGTAAGTGGATTGCTTGAGCCTGTGGGTTTGAGACCCACCTGGGCAACTTGGTGAGACCTCATCTCTACAATAAATAAATAAAAAAAAAAAAAATCAGCTGGGTGTAGTAGCGCGTGCCTGTAATTCTGGCTACTTGGAAGGCTGAGGCGGAAGGATCGCCGGAGCCCACCGGGTCAAGGCTGCAGTGGCCAGGAGCGTGCCACTGTACTCCAGTCTGGGCGACGGAGTGAGACTCCAACTCAAAAAAAAAAAAAAAGGAATACTAGGCCTAATTAGCATATAATAGTGGCTGGATGATTATTTATCATCATAGATGTCCTCTTGTCTGAAACATTTTAGTGTTGGTGCTACTTATAAGCAATTTGAAAGGGTGACCATAAAGGAGTTTGTTTGCTCTAAAATGAACCTTGAAAAATTTTTTTTGTTTTGTGTTTGAGTTGGAGTCTCACTCTGTAACCCAGGCTGGAGTGCATTGGCATGCTCACAGCCACCACAGCCTCAACCTACTAGGCTCAGGCTATCCTTCCACCTCAACCTTCCAAGCACCTGAAACTCCAGGCGAGCACTACCATACCCGACTATTTTTTTTTTATTTATTGTAGAGACGAGGTCTCACCAAGTTACCCAGGCTGGTCTTGGAACCCTGGGCTCAGGCAGTCCTCTCACCTTCACTTCCCAAAGTGCTGGGATTATGAACTTGAGCCACTGCACCCAGCCTGTTTTTTAATCTAACCCTTAAACTACCTTGACATGCAGTTCTGTTTTAACCTTGTTTTTAATGCACAGTTTTGGCATCTTATAGTAGTTTCCTAAGTTCTAGAATGATTAAGGTTTTTGGCTTGACTGAGGTTTATCATAGAAAAATCAATGCTAGCTGGGCTCAGTGGCTCAGCCTGTAATCCCGCGCCTTTGGGAGGCTGAGGTGAGTGGATTGCCTGAGCCCACGGGTTTGAGACTCGCCTGGGCAGTGAGACCTTATCTCTCCAATAAA